GTAGCAAATAAAGATTAAAAGGGCCTTGAGATCATCCAGTCCAGCTCCTTGCGCTGGGCAAGAATTTACTGCAGAAGTTTTGCTTTGCTTTTTGACTTACTCTTTGGGGTCACATTCACATCGTCCCTGCCACTACCCTTCCCCACAAACCTGGCCAAGATGTTCATACAACACAACATGACCCAATACAAGTAGTCCTCGAACTTACAACCATTCGTTTAATGACCGTTTGAAGTTGGTGAAAAAAAAGTGACTTATTTTTCATACTTACAACCTTTGCAGCATCTCCTTGGTCACGTGATCAGCATTCCGACACTTGGCAACTGACTCATATTTATGACGGTCGCAGCGTCCCGGTGTCATGCGATCCGCTTTTGCAACCTTCTGACAAACCAAGTCAAGCGGAGAAGCCAGATTAACAACAATATGTGATGACCCAGGGCGTGGCACAAAAATAACAAAGACATCAAAGTAAATAAATTCCCTTTAATGCCTCCAACTTGGCCCCCGATGTCCAGTTATCCTTGGCTGAAGATCAAACTCTTCCAAAAAACAGTCTACGAAGGGAAGAAATGCAGTCCGAACCCAAAGTAAAGATAATTAGAAATAAAAACAACAACACAAACCACGCTGAAGTAATTAACACGACAAGCCAGGATGATAAATTGCAACTTCCAAAGGATAATGCAGCACCCACAGTTGGGAGGACACCAAGCCTCAACCCAGATAAGCCTCAACAAAGATAATGCATGCTTTACTTCCAGCAACTTTGCCATGAGCAGTTTGCCCTTTTTAAAAGTCTTCCCAGCTGCAGCCCATGAAGGGGATCAGGGCCCTTTCCTCCCCCATAAACCATGTTGCTCCCTTCTCCATTCCTCCCTGCGTGCTCTAGAATGAAGAGGGGATGGCCCTGGATCTTTCTCTGAATGCCCAGCTTGCCTGTGCCCTTCCCCCATTTCTTCCACAGCTGCCAGATCCACACTCCCACTCCCTGTCAGCTGCTCAATCTCCCCCTCAGAATCGGATTCCCACAAGGGCATGACATCGTGTTACTAACTTAATTACTTAACAACTGTGACAAAAAAGTCATTTAAATGGGGTAAAACTCCCTTAACAGCTGTCTCACTTAGGAACAGAAATATTGGGCTCAACTACGGTGGTAAGTCAAGGACTACCCTGTCTCCCTGAAAATATGACCTACCCTGAAAGTAAGTCCTAGCTTGATTTTTACACGTGCACCCAATGTAAGCCCTTCCCTCCAAAATAAGCCCCAATTAAGATCCCGCCTACTTCGGAGTGGACGGGTAAAAATTAAGCTAGGGTAGGGATGGGGGGTGGTGGAGCTGCCCTACTACTTACCTTTGGACAGTTATAGCCAGGCCTCACATACCCCAACACCTGGCCAGTCCATTTCTTCTGCAGCTGGCAAGGCTTTCCTAAAGGCCTCTGTCGGTGGTAACAAAGGCCTAGACCGATCCTATCAGTTGCAGAGGCCTTTGGGAAAGCCTTGTCAGCCTCAGAAGACGACGTTCCTGAAGGCCTCTGATAGTGGAAAGGAGGCCGGGATGATATCCCCCCAAAATAAGGCCTGGTGCCTTTTTTGGTGGCAAAAAAAATATAAGACAGGGTCTTATTTTCGGGGAAACATGATAGCTGTAAATAAAGAAAATAAAGAAAAGTGCTGCTCTGTTTCTCCTCATATACTGTGTGAGATACAGGGTTGGATTCCCGTTGCATCCTTAATCAGCTCCTTTCTTGGCTGTTTGATCGGAGGACGATAAGAATTTTTCAACCTTTGCAATTTTAACCTGTCTGGGTTTCAGCTCCCACGCAATTGAGCCCCAAATTTCTTTTGCTAAGTGAAACATTTGTTAAGTGAGCTTTGCCCCATGTTACGACCTTTCATGCCTTGGTTGTTAAATTAGTCGAACTGTTGTTTAAGCAAATCTGGCTTCCCCGTGGACTTTCCTTGTCAGAAGGCCGCAAAAGAGGATCACGTGACCCATGGGACACTGCAACTGTCATAAATATGAGTCAATTATAAATAAATTTTAATGAATGAATAAATAAATTTGAGTCCATTGCCAAGCGTCTGAATTTTGATCACATGACCATGGAGATGCTACAACGGTCATAAGTGTGAAAACTGGTCATAAGTTACTTTTTTTCCGGTGCCATTGTAGCTTTGAACAGTCACTAAATGAACTGTTGTAAGTCGAGGACTACCAGTACAGCTCTCAAAATTTCCCAACGGGCTGAGGAATTGAAACCCATGCAGGTAATCCTCAACTTAGCACCGTAATTGGGATGGGAATTTCAGCCGTAAGTCACAACAGTTGTAAGTTGAGCCATCTGTATGACTGGACCCGATTTTTACAATTGTGATGATTCCCCAGCCAGCCATGGAAACTTATAGAAGGAGGCAAAGTTGTCAGAGTGTTTGCAGCGTGACTACCATTGTGAGACAACCCAGGAGCACAATATAGCACATAGAGGCAAAATACACCAAAACAAACCGCATTGATGAGAGTTCTGAAGCAAGCCGAGATAACTAATCATAAACTCCAGGCAAATAACCCAGAAAAGTCCATGGGAAGAACGCCAGCAAAGATAAACCTCTTTCAAGGTAAACACTAATTGACTCCAGCAATTCTAACTACGTCACTGAAAAACTTATATACATAGCTCCCACCCGCAAGCCACGAGGAGGATCATGGTAATCTCCTCTTGAGTAGACCTCGCTTTTCCCTGATCCTCTCCTCCCTGTGTGACCTAGGATGGATAGGGGATGGGCCTGGATCCTCCTCTGACTGCTCAGCCGGACTCTGCCCTTCCCCAGCCTCCTCCACCACCTCTGGAGCCACACTCTCACTCCTGTTGGCTGTTCCTCCTCTTCCTCAGAATCAGACTCCACCAGGGGCATGACATTTTGTCTTATAACAGTGGTTATGTACAAGACAGCTATATATATATATATATATGTTAGGCACGTACCAGGCAAGCAATCAGTCTTCATTACTGTGCACGGATAACTACAATGGAGATAGAACACGAGGAAAGAGAGAGAGAGAGAGAGAGAGGAGAGAGAGAGAGAGAGAGAGAGACACCCTCTCATGGCTGCCTTTATATAGACAGCTTCTTAAAGTGGCAATAACTCTGCTGACCCAACCTCAATCTTAAAGCGGCAATACCCTACTGACTCATTCTCATTGTATCAGCATTTACAGCAGCCTTACAACAGCTGGTCAGCTATTAAATCTTCAATATCTTAACACGAAGTTTGTTTCAGTTTACGTTGAAAATGTTTCAAATGTATGCTGGATCTTGGAGCTTCTTGAGTTAGAGCAGAGGTGGGGAACGATGGCCCTTTTACAACTTGAGCCAGCATGGCTGCCCTAGGAATTCTGGGAGTTGAAGTCCCTCATGGCTGTCTTGGCTTTTCAGGCCAGCCCAGAGATCCTAGATTTCTAGATACTTCTGAGCTGGCGCATTGTTTCTTCACTGGGAATTTGTTGGTCATTTTATATTGCAGTTTTCCTCTTAGGCATCACCTATACTGAGCTTTGTTGGCACAGGAATTATGGGAGTTGAAGTCCCTCACGGCTGTCTCGGGAATTCTGGGAGTTGAAGTCTCAGGTCCACAGATTGTAAAAGGGATGGGCAACTATGGCTCCTTTATGACTTGTTGACTTCAACTCCCAGAATTCCTGAGAGGCTGCCTTAAGAATTCTGGAAGTTGAAGTCCATCATGGCTGGCTCAGGAATTCTGGGAATTGAAGTCCACAAGTTATACAAGGGCCATCATTTCCTACCTTTGAGTTGAGCATGGGTGTCAAACTCAATTGCGTCATGTGATGTATTGCGACATTTTTTGCCTTTGCAGAGCCAGGGTGGGCGTGGCCTGCATCATGTGATGCATCCATCCTGTGGGCTGCCAGTTTGACAGGCCTGAGTTAGAGGAACGCCTGTGACTTGCAGGCAATTTTTCTAACAGAAGTAAATTAAGTGACCTCCCAGCCCCAGTTTCTCTTCCATGCTGGCTGAGGAATTCTGGGAGCTGAAGTCCACAAGTGTGAAAGTTGAGAAATGCTGATCTCAATTAAGAGATTAAAATCTACACTAAATATCGTCCTGCATCCCAATTGGATCCACTGCTAAAACCCTCAATGAGTCTTTTCTCTAATTAGCAAATACAGGTAGTCCTCGACTTACAACCATTCGTTTAGTGACCGTTTGAAGTTACAACGGCACTGAAAAAAGTGACTTACAGTCAGGGGTGGGATTCAAATATCCCAACAACCAGTTCTCTGCCCAGTTGCATGGTCGGCGTGGCCTATCGGAACTTCCAGGAGGGCAGTTTTTCACCTTCCCCATAGTCCGGAGGCTTCCCTCGAGCCTCTGGGAGGGTGAAAACGGGCTTTCCCAGGCTCCGGAGGCCCTCCAGAAGCCAGAAACAGGCCCATTTCCGGACTTCCGGAACTTCTTGGAAGGCCGTTTTTCACACACACACCCTGAGTCTCCACGGGGACCCTGCACTTACCTGCATCCAAAACAGGCTGCGTGGAGACTCCTGGGAGGGGAGGGGGAAGGTGGGCGAGGTAAATTTAACACTTGCTTACGGTCATTTTTCACACTTATCTTGCAGCCTCCCTGTGGCCATGTGATTAAAATTTGGGTGATTTGCTTTACAACTGCAATGTTTTGTTTAACAACTTTGGGAAACCGGTCATAAAATGGGGCACGACTCACTAACAACTTCCTTTGTAGGCAGTGGAAATTTTGGCCTCAGTTGTGATTGTAAGTTGAGAACTATCTGCCTATCGTGAAGAATTCATTTGTTTCTCATTTTTCTTGGACGAGTTTCTCCAGCTTCTGTGTCCAAATTCCTGTTCTGTAAAAACAACATCCTGAAGCCGATAACCTATTTTCTTTTTGCTTTTTGACTTATCCAAGTTGTTTGTTTCTAATCTCTTCCTTTCCCATCCTCTTGGTTTCTGCAGGTCTCTTTCAAGGCTGTGATGAAAATGTAATTTTGGATCGATACTTTTGCTGCAGGAAGACATAACGGAGACCTTTAAGAAGGAAGCCAAACTTTTTTTAATTTAAATTGAAATCATTCCAAATGTAGGTTGGATTTCTCAGCTTGTTGGGTTAGAGGAACATCTGTGACTTTTAACCAACTTTTCTGTAGAAACAAACTTAAGTGACATCCCAGCTTAAGTTTCCCTCCCATTTTTTTAAATTTATTTATTTAAAATACACATCGGAACTTCAACTGATGTTGAAATTTGTTTCTAGTTTTGCCAGCATCTCTATTCCTTTCTTTTCTCATTCCGGCCACCTCTAAATCTTGATGAAAATTTATGTACATGTGATGGTGTTCAAATTGGTTTTTGGTCCATGGCAATAATATTCTCTTGGTGTGGTGTGCGTGCTTGTATTTCCATAGCGGTCGACACTTCTGCAGAAAGATAAGTTTGCCAATGAAAATTTGAAGGAATGGTGGTGGAAAAAGAAGAGGAGGTTGTAACATTTCAGAAAGTTGAAGCAGCAAAAAGTTGGAATATGCAACAATTGGCGCTTTGGCCGTCCAAAAGTTTTTGAATTTGAACTATTCCAATTTTTACTCCCTGGCCTCATCTTGAGTTGAAAAATGAGACATTTTGATTATTGATGGAAATGTTTTGGGCTCAAAACTGAGGGGTTTTGAACGTGAATCAAAGATGTTTTGAGCTTGGAAATATTTTCTAAATGATCAAGATGATCTTTTGAAACTCAAGTCGGCCATTTTGTGTTCAAAGAGAGACATTTTATAATGAATGGGTTTTGCACACCACCAGTGCTGGGTTCTTCTGTTCCATAGGGCTCAAGAGCAATAAAACTAGGGCATAAATTTGATTTTCAGTGTTTCTGTGGCTTATGAACATCAGTGTCTGCATGACGTGGTCAAAACAGGGTAAGTGAATTTGTGAATTCTGTAGTGTACATAAATGACATCATTTATCAAAAACGTCAGTTGGGTTATTTGCACAAGACATTGTTATGGCTTGTGCTGGACTCTATCACATGACAGGTCTGCTCTAAACCAGGTTTCAGGCCTGTGTAAACCTGGTTTAGGCCAGCCCAGAAATCCTAGCTCTCCAGATACTTCTGAACTGGCACACTGTTTCTCCACTGTGGATTCGTTTGTCGTTTTATATTGCAGTTTTCCTCTTGGGTATAACCCGTACTGTAGTTTTAAACCAATGGTGGGGGAAGCATGGACCCTTTATGACTTGTG